TTTTCACATTGTGAGATTTAGTCTTTTCAAATGTTATCTTTGCAGTGAAGATTGATAGAAATATCAAAAACAGGTCACGTGGGAATACAAGCTTCGATATCAGCAATTACATAAGATCTTCAGGAGATTCAGACCCATCTCCTCATGATCCTATGCAATAGTAGCTCCAAATAACTACATAAATAACTGCAAAATATAATGAAAATATGATTAGATAATGTCACTTTTATTATCTCGATGTCAATTGGACTGAATTGGTATACGGGCACCTACGCAGGTGCCTCGATAATAATGTTGGATGGTGGCTAGCAGTAGAGTCCAGAACCTGCGTTTCGACCAATTTGCGACTCGTCAACTAGTCACCGTTCATTATAAATACCAACATTGAAACAACAGGCAATATCTAAGCGTCCACGTAGGAGCCCATATACCGATAGACACCGGTCAATTCAAACCAGCCAACGACGGGATATTACAAGCATCACTCATCGCACAAGAAGTGACTATCGTGACTCGATGGGCTAGAGGATAACGCTACGGTTTTTAAAGCGTTGAATTCTGGGTTTGATTCTCAGTAGGAACAATATCATTCACTTGGAGGCATCTACATCCTACTGATGAGCCTCAACTGAGACTAAACGCTCATCCTGGGTTACTGTGCTAGACATTATTCGACATTACTATCCGCAGGATAAACTAAATTATGACTGATCAAAGATAAGAGGAAGAAAGATCCGTTCATGTAGTATAGTAGTTGGTTGGAGACAATTGACAAGAACCCATACATCACCTAGGTTTCATGCTTTTTTGGCACTCCTCAGTAGTGATACTGTGTGATGATTGAGGCTGAAATGAGAATTTGGACTCCAGTCGGATTCGAATCAGCTACTACCGGACTAGTCACTGAAGAGCCAGTTGACGTCTAACAACTAACGTACATCAAAGTCCACCTCGATAGTCATGGCCATATAGGACAACTACCGATAGAATTCGGTCAGCACTGAAAACTACACAGCACAGACTGGTTAATATACAGTGATATTGATATAGTACATCCAGAATCCTAGAATCCTACTACTACTAGTACTCACACTACTACTACTACTACTACTACTACTACTACCTATGGTAGCAATAATACAGTTTCTAGTCATTAGTTCGTGTGGCGTGATGCATATATTTCTCCATTTGTGCGTAGAGTTTTCATTAGAAATGAGATATAAATTAATATATACGTGACCATGGAATCGCTTCTAATAATTTATATGTTGTTTGACCTTCTGTTTCTAAGTTGATTACCGCTTTTATCATTTATAGAAATGAATCATTTACAAACCACATTCAGTATAGCATTTCTAGAGTGTATTAGTTATACCTTTTGTATCTCATTTAAATTTCATGTAAGTGGAAACCAGTTTTCTGACTTTTGTAGTGAATTATGTTCCTCTTACATTCAGGAGAAATATTCAGCAATAAATGAAGAATATCTACCTTCATGTATGTAAAGTAAAATGCTGACTTGACTAACCATTACTAGGGACAATATTGAAATGATATTTCTTTCCAGCGAAGACAAGACTTCAAGTGGACGTAGAGAAGACAGAGGTGACGAAAAATCCAACCAACAACAACAAGCACTAACCACTACCAACGAGGGCGAATCTAAACGAAGTTGTCTATTCCACCCACCCACCTACGTGGGCAGCATCCTCTCAACTACGGGCGCTGTCGGCACGGATAAAGATGTCAAAGCCAGCCACCATCAGAAAGACAGCAACACAGGTCCTCACTCATCAATTGGAAATAATCGGTGTGGAGATCCACTCCACTCCACTCCACTCCACTCCACTCCACTCCACTCCACTCCACTCCACTCCACTCCACTCCACTCCACTCAGCATAAAGCGTGAACAACATACGGACTCTCAACATTAATTCAGTCAACTCAGTCAGTGCTTCTGTATGATGGTTGAGAGAATTGACAGCGCATCAATAAAGGTATTTCCAACAAATTACAGATACACATGATGAACAGCTGCCACCTACACTCGCTCACTCCATACTGACACTGAAGATCAGATCAGATCAGATCAGATCAAATCAAATAAAATCAAATAAAATAAAATCAGATCAGATCAGATCAGATGGCGAGAATAATGAGAATAAGCAACGAGCAACGAGCAACGAGGGACTCACTCCGACTGGTTGACAACGAACCAACCAACGAGGAAGTTATCGGTGAACAAATATGAATGAGAAGAGAGTGGATATGGATTGTATTGTATTGTATTTGATTGAGCATACACTGAGAAGTAAGACGGTTTGTGACATCACGAGTCAGGCTGTTGAGTGGAAGGCAAATGGGAAACGGTGAGTTGTGTGTGAGCTGAGTGTGACATGTATGAGATGTTGTGAGGAAGAAATGGATGCTTGTTGGGGAGTCATGGAGCCAGATTTGAATGACTGCAGATAAAAGAGTCAAACGGTGACGTGATGGTGAGGCGGTATTTCCCACTGGGTACCCCAGAGACAAATAGTAATATTTTTCCAGCTGGAATTCACCATGAACTTATATCAGTCGACGAAACATTGAAAACCTGGGAGCAGTTGACAGCTGTTTCGTATCATTAATATTGGACTCTCCAACACTGCGCATCCACGACCCCGGCAGGGGTCGAACCCACGACTTCCAGGTTCCAGGCTAGCCCCTCTGGTCACGACTTCTGACCAGAACTTCCGGAATCACCAATGAGCACTACTTCAATTGGATTTGAGAGGATTTAAAGATTTTTTCAGGTTGGTATTCTTCGTGGCCTGATATCAGTTGGAACAACATTTTAAACCTGGGCTGTGAATTCGTACTGCTGAAGAGTCTCATACTAGTGGGACGAAACAGTTATCAATTGCTCCTAGGTTTCCAATGTTCCTCCAACTGATGTCAGTCCATGATGAATACCAACTTGAAAAATCTCCAAATCCCTACAACCTCCCCCCCCCCCATAAATTAAATGGAGATGATAGACGGTTGATTTCAGCTCAAATCTTTTTCAAACTTCAACAGGCATCCACTGACTACTGTCCAAAAACTGAATAAACCAAATATAAACCATTTTATGTTCAAAAAATCAAATATTGAAACATTTCTAATTAACTATTAAGGATGTGTGTTATTCGACAACACGTATCACACAGAATTTCTGTTTTTCTTGATGATAACACCTTCATTTAGAGTAGCTTAAGCAGTCAAGCAGTCAAGTTAAGCATTTCTTTAAATAAGTTTTATTAATTCTGATCAGAAAAACAGCTTACAACGGAACTTGAAAGTTCCCGTTCCAATCTTGCATTCAATTGAAAGTATACCTTCATAGAATGATAAACGCGTTAACTAAACGGACAATTATGCAGTGATTCTCAGAGGAAGTGAACTGTTGTTTAGGTTTTTTTAAACCATTCTATTGAGCAACCGCTGCAGTGAGGTCATTTCAGATTGTATACTAATCTCACTTTAAAAAGCCTAGACGAGAGTTGGATTCTCTTCAAAACCATTTACCAATCTTGTGAGTCACGCCCATTATGCGAAGGCTAATTACTGACCATGCAAGAGGCGGTCTTCATGTCGCAGTAGCCTAGTGGATAACGCTTTGGCATTTGAAGCGATGGATTCTAGGTCCGAGTCTCACTGACAACAACACGACTCATAAAAGTGCAGATACATCCATCCAAGTCCGAAATAGGGTGAAACTCACGTCCTGGATTACACTATTAGTCACCATGATGAGTACAGTGATACTACTTGTCTGCCGAAACTTCAGTGGGTAGAGCGGTACTCGAACCTACAACCCATTAGCTGGAAGTCAACTTCCTAAACCAACCACCCACAATTCTACCTCGGCTCCCCTGGGAACCAATAAAGCAGAACGTCTCAAAATCTACTAGAGGTATCTTATTCTTGGTTTTGAGTAGTTTGTGAAAATTACCTTCAAATTTAAGATTTCAATAACACCAAACAGCCATAAAATTAAGAAAGGTTCATTAACCGTCTTGAGGTAATCAGCTGACCAAGGTAAATACCAAAAATATAGGTCGGATAAGCTTATCTTAATTTCTTTCCAAATGTTGTATACTGAAGAGGTAGTGTGAAGCACGATCATAAAATATCCTTACATATACACATGAAATTACAATTCTGAAGGTTTTACCAAGATAAAAACAATTCATGTACAGTTTATGTTTGGTTTCTCAAGACCCGCAAAACTCTGTAAACTGAAATTCATTTCCCATGGTATTTACTCAATAATTCAAAATAGAGAGAGAGAGATGGAGAGACGGAGAAAAAAAGCCAATATTCTACATCATAAATTTTCGATTTCAAAATTTTCTGACAGTTTGTATATCATCGAGGTAGCATTTTGATGCTATCCTTCTCTATGATTGTGCATTGTGTGTGTGTGTGTGTGTGTGTGTGTGTGTGTGTGTAGCTGCTCTCTTTCACAATGACGGTTACATCTTACTAACACCGAAGAAAATCTTTTGTGATTGTATGACCTTTAAGTTTACCCAACTTTGATGTTTACCGCCTATCAAAGTCATTTGGCGGCGAAAAATCAATGACAAGTGTTTACCCCTGTTACTAGTGCTTTTTTGGTTTGTTCACCACTCTTATAATGATGATACTATTTTTTAGTTCATCCCAATTTTACAGACATGTGTGAGAATTAGGTAGCGTTAGCCTTCAGTAAGTAACAGTGCATAATACTATGCGTATATACTTCTGTAACTTTATGGTTTGTTTACTCACCCGTTTCTTTAAGTGACACATAGATAACCAATCAGATGAGAGTAAAAGACGGTTTAATGAATTAAGAAATTTGATTGGTCAGTTATGCGATATGAAAGATTCTGCGAGGGAATAAACCAGTGTGTAGTAGTCACGCTCTATTTAAGTTGAAAATATTTTAGAATTGCTAATACACACATTGAATACATAAATGCACAAATAACAAGCCTACACACATATATTGCGCTAATAGAAATTACTTATTTGATGCATTAAAAGCCTGATTTGTAAAAGTATCTAACCAATTATATATATCCAATAATTACGATCATTATTATTATTTATTTTTTTTATTGCCATCATTATCGTTATTATCACTATTATTCATAAACACTTTGGTTTTCTCTATTCACTTACATAAAAATTACACTACACGTGATTAAAACAAACAGCTTACAGTCAACGAAATTTTCTATTGCTTGAATTGTTTCACATTAGGTGTAACAAACGAAGAGACTTGGAGATAATTCATGCCAAATATCATACAATATAGTAATAATAATTATAACCGATTTGACTGTTAATTATTCTTATTTCATCATTGTTCATCTATACTAACAAAGGGCCTATTAAGCTATGTTAACAATGCAATCGAATTATTATGGAACACGATCTGATACACGTCTTGGTGGGTCAATTCTACCATCACAATTAACAAATTATTCTACACAACAGAATCAACAATTGGCACATCAACAGCATCTTCAACAAAATCAATCATTTCAAGCACAAAGCCTACATGAAGTTCGTTTACCTTTGATAAATACTAGTAGTAATAATAATAGTACATCAGTTAATCCACCTGATATAATACAGAATTCAAATTCTCCTGATGAACATTGCAATTTTCCAGTACCAAGACAATTAAATCTACGACATAATAATAATAATAATAAAATAAATAGTCAAGAATGGATACAAAATAATACTGAATGTAATATGAGACTTAGTTATGCAACAGTTCAATCACCACCGACTAGTGAAGAATTATCATCTACATCAACACGTTCACATCTTAATTGTACAATATCCAATAGACATTCTCCAAATAATTCAACACCATCACCAACAATTACATCAACTTTAACTAATAGTAATAATATGAATACAAGATTATTAAATCAACAATTTTATTCTGATATAAATTTAATTCGTCAATCATCGACTACTTCAAATACTTATGGAAGAAATGGACCAAAAGAATTAGATTATTTACTGGCAGCAAATGCAGCTGCTGCACTTGTTAGCCAACTTGGTGGTGGAACAACATCAGTTAACAGTTTAAATTCAAATATAACAATGGAACAGATAAATAATAGTTCAAAATTACTTCATCGTGATATAAATCCATTGGAAACATTTACAGGTAAAGATTTATTAATGCATAATGAATTAAGATATAATAATAATAGTGTTAACCATACTACTAATGGGATCATTAGTAGTATCAGTAGTAGTAGTAGTAGTACTAATAGTAATATAAATTTATCATATGATGAACAACAACGACTTATGTATCCAAGTACAGAACAAAAATCTTATTCTAATAATATATTAAATCCTTTCAATGGGACCAATTTTATGCATCCAATAGTTCAAACGAATTCATTGATGACACGTAATCAAAATGGTTCATTTCAATTGAATACAACTCCAATCAATACAATTAAAAATAATAATAATAATAATAATAATCATATTACTGATTCACATACACATCTATATGATATATCGTCTTTCAATGGTCAAAATCCATACTCCCTTACAAGTACATTTCATTTGAATCCACGTGGATCACATCAATCATATATGAATGATACAATTAAATTAAGTGGGAATTTATCATTACGTGATACAAATTATCAAGCATTATTGAATGGATCAGCATTTCAACATAATCATATTAATAATAATAGTGGTGGTGGCGGTGTCAGTACAGCGTTTCGATCTTTAATGAATTCAGAGAATCATTCATCTTATCTGTCTAATTCAACTGAGTTAAATCAATCTGTACAAAATGTACTAATGGATAATGCTAATTCACTGTTGACTGATAACAATAGTTGTACTGGACAGTCATTACGTCAAAATTCTAGTTCTAATGAATCTAATGTAGTTGTTTACCCTTGGATGAACCCTAAAGGAACTGGTATGTTTCAAATATCTTTCTGTGTATGCATGATTATCCTGTGGGTAATAGTGTTAACAATTATTTGCTAACCTATGATGTTTCATTATTATTATTTGTCCCATGGATTCCTAGTGGAACATATTGCTTCACTAGCATGCCACCATTTCACTCTCTTATCTGCAGTCATTCAAATCTGGCTCCATGACTCCCCAACAAGCATCCATTTCTTCTTCACAACATCTCATACATGTCACCCTCAGCTCATACACACAACTAGAGGGCCCTGTCTGGACTATCGTGTGATCCAATCCAATCCATCTCCACTCTCTTCTCATGCATATTTGTTCACCGATAACTTCCTCGTTGGTCGGTTCGTTGTCAACCAGTCGGAGTGAGTTCCTCGTTGCTCGTTGCTTATTCTCATTATTCTCGCCATCTGATCTGATCTGATCTGCTCTGGTGTGGTATGATCTGATCTGATCTTCAGTGTCAGTATGGAGTGAGCGAGCATAGGTGGCAGCTGTTCATCATGTGTATCTGTAATTTGTTGGAAATACCTTTATTGACGTGCTGTCAATTCTCTCAACCATCATACAGAAGCACTGACTGAGTTGACTGAATTAATGTTGAGAGTCCGTATGTTGTTCACGCTTTATGCTGAGTGGAGTGGAGTGGAGTAGATCTCCACACCGATTATTTCCAATTGATGAGTGAGGACCTGTGTTGCTGTCTTTCTGATGGTGGCTGGCTTTGACATCTTTATCCGTACCGACAGCGCCTGTAGTTGAGAGGATGCTGCTCACGTAGGTGGGTGGGTGGAATAGACAACTTCGTTTATATTTCTCTTATTAGTGGTGATTGGTGTTTGTGTTGTTGTTGTTGGTTGGATTTCTTCATCACCTCTGTCTTCTCTACTTTCAACTGAAGGAAGTCCCATCTTCCTCTGCTGCCTCGCCTCTCCTCACCTCACCTCACCTCGTCTCGTCCCTTCTGTCAACTTGTTAGTTTTCGCTTGTAGATCTTCTAGTTTGTATGACAAGACATTTGACATGAATCACCATCGTTGGCGAAGTCGAAATCTTTTAGGGTCTTTTCATCTGTTCAGCCACTGTATGCCCATCTTCTCACTTCTCTGATGTTACTATTCAAGCTTCTTTATTGTTAGGCTCGGTATTATCGTATAGTGGATGACTGGTTTGTAGGTTGGTAGACCTGAGGGTGACTGATTCAAGGCTTTTGACAAACCCAGGTTTTAAGGATTAGCATAAGTTGGAGAACTACTGAAAACATCTGAGAACACTAGATAGCTGTTTTGTCCTAATATAGGACTCCAGCTGGGGGTCTAACTGAGAGCCTACGGGCTTTATGGCATGTGCATTAACAATGTGGATTTCAGTAGTCCAACCGATCGCAGTCCGTGATGAATACTTTCGTTTTCTTATCTAATTTATGATAGCTTAACCATCATTCAATGTGTTTCGTTTTATACGCCTATAGATAAACTGCTAATAGTGTACAGAAAGAAGTGATTAAACTGTTGAACAATTGTGTTTGTTTTAAAGCATAGAAAGCAATATGATTGTGTTGAACAGTAACTTAGATATCTATTCTTGAAAGTTTGCTCATTTTGAGCTAATCATCATTTCAGATATAGTTTACTTGTTTGATGGTGAAGTATAAAAATGTTTAGTGAGAGGAATAGATATTCAAGTTTTGTTATAGTATAGATGATAGTTTAGAGAGTTAGTAACCAACTAGAAGTAACATGTTTGGACAGCGTGTACAACATTATGTGATAGAAATGACAGAGATCGTATAATTAAAGGCAATTTTGTATCCTAACCTTTGTGACTATGCTAATCCTGAAAAAGTGCTCAGAGAGCTTTGCTTGAATTGACAATCAATCAATCAAAAAGATAACTACCACTTACTGGATAGTAACTAACTTCTTGTATTGCCTAATCCACAGAGCTGATTCAGTTTTGTCGATTATTTTCCAGTATAGTCACTAAGCTAACAGACTGATTATCATGGGGCACTTTAATGGATGTTCATTGACTGTAGATGGTTGACAGGAGGCCATGATTATCGATGATGCTGAGTGTCCTGTCTTGCTGACCCATTGTGAAATGATCGATATAGTCTTATTATCACTTGAGAATAGACAACAGGAGGTCAATCGTAACCCAACTAGGTCAATGGTAACTTCTATGACTGTAACACTGGGTGATACGAGTTAAAATCTCAAAGGGAACACTAGTTCCCTCTAGATTCCTTCCAGGAGACGCCTTGGCAACGAGTGCCAAGAAGCATGAAACCCAGGTCAAGTAGAGCTTCCTGTTAACTGCCACCAACCAATCAGTAGATTTCGAATACTTACCAGATTATGAGATTATTTGGATCATTTATTAGTATGCTTTTACATGAAATTACTTCTAGACAATAATTTATATAAGTTCCTTTGGGGTCGCTAACCATCGTGCTGACAAGTTTCAGCATGCACATAATACAGGCTAAATATTTTATAGGTCCCACTGATTGTACCCAGTTATACATTTCTTTTCAACGCTTCAAGAATTCCACTCACTCACTCACTCACTCACTCACTCACTCACTCACTCACTCACTCACTCACTCACTCACTCACTCACTCACTCACTCACTCACTCACTCACTCACTCACTCACTCACTCACTCACTCACTCACTCACTCACTCACTCACTCAATAATGATAATGATAATAATAATACTAATAATTTCCACAGTAAGTTGACACTGATTCAATAAACTATGAGAGAAATTCTTGTTTTGAACTACAGTCTTCCGCAAGGTTGAAGCTCTTAACAGATCAACACTCCTACCTACATTTAACAGGAGATCCACTGAGACTCTTCAGTAATCATCTTACAAAAAATTTGGTTGAACTTAGAGAAGTAGTTAAATAATTTATCAGATTATGATTGATTAAACTGCATGTCATGATACTAGGACTTCCAAAAACATGGGAAACAGTTAAAGAAACTCCTTCAAGTGAGTTCATTGGTTGATTTTACTGTAACGAAGTAAAACCGACACTACCACTACTACTACTACTACTACTACTACTACTACTACTACTACTACTACTACTACTACTACTACTACTACTCACACTACTGTCACTGATAATACTACAAATAGTCCTAACAAAGTTGGTAACAATCCATTGGTCATTTGACGCAACAACTAGTTTATAGTTCAGTGAAAAAAGGCACCGCAACCACAATCTTGTTCACACCGTGAAAAATTTATTTATCAAGGCCATCAAATAAACATATTTTATATAAACATACAATTATTGTATACAAGATACAGTGTACCATTGAAATCACTTTGATCTTCACTCTAAAGCTATTATCACACTTGCGATAATTATTAAAATTAAGTATCATTGATCGATTTTCTAAAGTATGATAATGACTAATTTTACAGGTAATGATAAATATGATATTAGAATCGTATTCAGACTAATTTATATTACTAGGTGATGATTAAAGGTTGAATGGATTGTGGCAGCATTTGAATCCGTGACCTCCAGAATACCTGGCTAGATGTCCCACCAACTAAGCTACGAGGGTCTAGCTGCTCGCTAGATCTTAATTTCTCCTGAATCAACCAAAATAAAATTAATCACTTGTCAAATTAGTGTCCCGAACAAGTGTTCTTTTCATGGTACAATTATGTATACATCTAAATAAGATAAATTTTTTACGCGTGTAAAATTCATTTAACAATGACATTGAACACTTGAACAGTATATCTGTTTGTTTTAAACAACAAACCACAATATAATTTAATGAAATCGTCGATAATTTTAAAGTTTCCACCCTTCATTAATTTCAGTATGTTTGTTACTCAGTAAGTGATTGAGTGAGTGAGTGAGTGAGTGAGTGAGTGAGTGAGTGAGTGAGTGAGTGAGTGAGTGAGTGAGTGAGTGAGTGAGTGAGTGAGTGAGTGAGTGAGTGAGTGAGAGTGAATTTGCGTGTACAAGTATCTAGCCAGTAGGCTGAATTATTTATTCGTCTATATGTCAAAAAGATATAAATTTTTACCAGATTGCCGTAACCTGTTTGTCTTGAGGAAATTGTTAGCTTGTTTGTCAATTCTATCTTTAACCCAATTTGAAGTTTATAGAGATTTTATTTTTAATGAAGTATTCATTACGGGCTGATATCAGTTGGCCAAGAGAACTGAAGGTGCTGAGTAGTCATCTCCAACTAATGTCAGTCAATGATGAATACTACCTTGGAATAAATAAAATCATCACAAACTTTAAACTAAGTCACTGTATAGTGCTCATTAGTTGACAAACTTCCAGATAGATAACAAGAAGTTCCAATGAGAAACCGTAACCTGTAGGATAAACCAGTCGGAAGCGAAGCAGATGTCAACTAAACACCTTGAGAGACAGTCGTTCTATACCACCAACTGACAGAAGTAGGAAAGTCTGAACCACTGGATTCCGTGAGACCTGAAGGTCCATGAGTTTGATCCATGGTTGGGTTATGGGTGTGTACTGTTAAGGAATCCTATATTAGATGTTCAGTGCTCGCAGATTTCTAGTGGCTCTCCGACTGATGCCAGTCCATGATGAATTCCACTGTAGAAATTCTATCGTTATCATTTATTTCAAGTCAAATTGTTTTCCTAAGTATGTTTACTGTTACTAATCAGATGGACTAGTCTACTGTTACCGGTTGAATTTCTAGCCTACTGATCTAAGTCCTCTTGTCTTAGTAGCATGTTTGAAACCTGTCGTTACCAAATCAAGTTTGGGCAGGCGAACAGTATTATCAACCCTGTGGCTCGCGGTCGATTTCATGCGTATTCCTTGACTTGCTAAGTTGCATTATTACTTTTCTATACTTGTTAGAATGCAATACAAGTACGACGTGACTTGGATGTGGTTAATCCTGCACACAATGCCTGTCCGCAGTCTAGGAACATGATAAATGATTACGCAAACATCAGGTCAGCT